GGGTTCTGTCTTCGAGACTTTTGGGCCCAAAGAGGATTGGAAATACAAATTTTAGGTAATTACTAGATAACTGAACCTGTGAGTCTGGTGAAGATCAGCAGAAACCAGAGGAAGAAACAAAGTCAGCAGCAGAGGAGACAAGATGAACCTGGAGTTCATGGCGAAGCCAAAGCTGATGTTATTTGATCAACAAGAAAAGCCGAATGACCTTCAGCTCCATCAGGACAAACCACATCAAAAACTTTATATGATCACAGGAGGAACTGTTTCTCTACTAGTCCAAATCATAGGAGAAACTATAAGAATGTTTCGGTTTCTGGGCTCATAACAGCTTTTTATTCTCTTTGAATATTTTATTTTATTTCTGTTTAAATTCATTCATGTTAATATCTAAATAATAATTACTGTCTTGTTTCTGATCACATTTATTGCCAATCTACAGTAGATGTTATTGTTTGCTGTTTATATTAAACTATAATGAGTATAGTGCCAGAGAGCCTCTCCACCTTCATTTTTTTTAAGTGAAAAGAAAAAGTATTTAAACCTGAAATATTTCTAGATCAATAAAGCATCATCAATTAAGTTTTATCATTTTTTAAAAGACATTTCTAATTCCCACAGTTCCTGAATGCAACAGCAGGGCATATTTTGTTCCAGTCAATAATCTGACACCACAGGTCATCTAAGTCCAGCCCCCACACCAAGGGGTCGGCAGTTTGTAACTGAAAAAAATTATCTTTAAATATCTCTTGTCAGTTTTACATCTTTTTTTCAGTTTCAGAAATAATTTTTAGTTTCAAGTAAACTTTTCGGTGTCAAATTGAATTTTTTTATTTTCTTTTTTTAAGAAAAAGAAAATAAGAATAAGACTTTATGCCCCAAATTAGCTCTAAAAGATTCCCTTTAATGAGGCCGAAAGCACCTTAGCCACAGTTTTGGAGGAATTATTTGAAAATAATATTTCTGCCTGACCCACGGAAACCATTGTGGATCAAATATGCTGCACCTATAGTAGACATTTTGAAAAATAGGGCTGCATGGTGGCATGGTTTGTAACACTGTTGCCTTCCAGCAATAAGGTTCTGGGTTCTATTCCTGGCCCAGAGTTTTTCTGCATGTTTTCTCTGTGCATGCCTGGGTTCTATCTGGGTACTCCGGCTTCCTCCCACAGTCCAATAACATGACTGTTAGGTTAAATGGCTCCTCCTAAAACTGTCCTTGGGTGTGAGTGCATGTGTGCATGGTCTTTGTGTCGTCTTGCGATGGACTGGCGAACTATGCAGGGTGGACCCTGGCTTGAAGATAGGCACCAGCCCCGCCGTGACCCTGATGGAAGCGGGAGAAGATGGATGGATATTGATCAATATAATCTGAGGTTTTCAAAGGGACTTTTTCTTAACTGTTAATATCAAAAATTAGGTTAATTAGCTTCTCTAAATTCGTCTTAGGTGTGAGTGTGTGAGTGAATGGTTTTTTTGTCCTGTGTGTCTCTGTGTTGCTCTGGAATGGACTGGCGACCTGTCCAGGGTGTACCCCGCCTCTCGCCCATAGACAGCTAAAGATGGGCATCAGAACCCCTCATGACAGAAAATGGATGGAAGGAATTTCAAAAAGACTTTAGACAAAGTTAAACACAAATATATTTTATTTAAACAAAGAACATATTTTCTTTGTTTAAATACTAATAAATCATACAATGGTAAAATCTGCTATACTGAGCATGCAGGTGGCGCAGTGGTTAGTGTGCACAACTCATGTACGGAGGCTTTAGTCCTTGACGCGGCTGACCCCAGTTTGAATCCAGCCTGTGGTCCTTTGCAGCATGTCTCTCCCCCTCTCTTATAAGCCCTTTCCTGTCAGCCTACTGTCAGAAAAACGAGACACTAGTGTCCTAAAAACTCACAAAAGAATAAAAGCTGGGAACCTGGTTTTGATGGAAAAATATTATTTTCTGTCTTTACCTTATTACAGTTAGAGATTGTTTCACTTAGACCTGATAACTGTGGAGCTATTATTGATTTGTTTCTGTTTTGTATTTTTAAGCACAAAACCCTCAGGGCAGATGAGGGTATAATGAGTTCAGGTTATCATAACTTTAATGTTTTTATAAATCTTGTCAGCTCATTAAGCTCAGGTTTGAAGCCCGCGTTTTTTTAATAATGAGTCGGATTCTCTAACTTTTGATTTCTTCATCCTTATTCAATCATATTTAATGTTGTGATAATTTCTGTTTTCAACCTCTGACTAGATCAAAAGTTTCGTGCAGATGTTTCAAAAAGTTGGTAAAGTTTACGAGACGATAAGCTGCCTTAGGTTTGTTTTGACCTCACAGCCCTCTTCTTAAAGCCCGGGAGCTTCAGCAGAACTCTTACATGTCCAAGCTTCCACCATCACTCCACCTCCACTTGGCAGACTTTTCTATGACACATCTAAAAATCAACATGGAAATAAAAATAGACTTGTGAACCATGATGGTCTGCAGAGTCTGTCCTTTCTGTCAGAACCTTAGCTACAGCAGCTCCTCCTTTGGATCAGAAAAAACAGGCCAACCCGTCCTCCCAAGGTTCAACAATGAGCCTGATGGTGGTTCATTACTTCAATAGATACTCATCACTGTGGGTCCCAAACAGAGCTGCAGATGGGAGAGGTTTTGACCCAGTTTTCATTCTAACACATCAATTCAGGACTAAATGTTAAATGTTGTCTGATAAACACCTCAAACTGGAGACATAATTAGTTATTAGCCTAATAGAGGCAGATGGGCCTGAAACCAGCAGCCACTCTGACGTTTCTGATGCACGGTCAGGGTTTCGACTCAAGCTTTTTTTTATTTTATCAGACCTTCCAGATCAGAACTTATTTTTCTAATTAAAGCACCTTCAGAGCTACAGGTTTTTTATTGTGTTTCTTTTTGAGCAGGATAGCATGTTTTTCCCTGAATGCCGATCATGTGATCGGTACAATTGATTACATGTTATCTCTCTAAAGAAGTTTCGGGAGCGAAGCAAAGAGAAGGACACGCCTCTGGTGATGCTAAGGGTGCAATTAGTGTGAATAAATTAAAAAGAAACTAAAAAATTTTTACGTAGGGGAGGGAGATAGAAAAATGAAGGTTGACATCAGATGAAGTAGGAACATTCCTTAAGGGTTTGTTGGAAGCTTTTAAAAAAGCTGTTTTAATTTAGCTCCAAAAAGGACTGTTTAATCATTCTTCATTCATTGTCTTCTTCGAGCTCCAAAGCTGGTTGAGGCCAGCTGCTGCCTCTCACTGGCTGAGCGCCTCTCTCTGACTGGCATCTTTAACAGCTCTCCCATTGTCCTCCCAGAGCTCCAGAGCGGGGCCAACCAGCTGCAGCCTCTGCCCAGCTTCGGTGCACTCTCTGCCCCTGCCTGACCTCCGGAGCTCCTGCTGCTCTTACCTCTTTTGTTCCAGTGATCCGTCCCAAAGTGAGATAACAGCTTGGAGTCTCACCTGGATGGAGGTACAGCATGAAGTGTCTGCGAACCAACTGTAGCTCCATGAACTGGGAGCATGTCTGGAGGATCTGGCAGACCCGGAAAGTGATGCGACTGTTTGGCTTCCCATAAGGAACAACAATGAATAAAGCACAATGACTCACTTTGTTGAATCAGGTGTTTAGTTCAAACCAGAAAGCAGCAAATATAAGCTGTTCCTATTTTATTGCGATGCCAGTGGAGGGCTGTCATCGTTTGACCACAGAATCGCTGGTAAAAAGTAAGCAGTGCGACATGAGGAGAAATATTAGCAGGAATGGTGTTTGGTTTGAACACATCATCAGATGTTCCTCTGCTCCAGCAGACTTCATTTAACTTCATCACCTCAGGATGACAGCAGGTTCTGTTTATTTAGACCTTCTCTGGAACGGAATCCTGCTCCAAGTGTTTGGGGTTTGTGTTTTCTTCATTGCATTGTTGTTTCCAATGGTCTTGCTGTACTGAGCTGTTATTTGTTCCATTAATGATTATTCCACAACTTTGTGTTTAGTTATATCGTGTTCTCTCTTTTTTGTATTCGGATTTGTTACTCTTAGATCTTGGCTTCTCGTGTTGGTTGTAGTTTCTTTGTGCCACAGCTCAGCTCTATTCATGTGAATTAGTCCTCCTCCCTCAGCTTCCCTGCCTTTAGTCGGCCACAGCTGTTCCACGTTTCCTCAAATCGGCTCCTCTGGTTCTTTGCATGTTTTCCATTCAGTTTCAGCTGCATTGAAGCTTTTGGTTTTTCATTCTTCATCTCTGGATCTTTCTACTACTGCCTGTTTCCTGTGCTACTGTACATTACCCTTGTTTTTGTAAATTATCTGCATTTGCCATACTCTGCATTTCATCAGAGTCAATCTTTTCCAGAAAACAAAAATGTGAGGAAACGTAGAAAAAGACCAACATCTCTGTGAGAGAAAAACTGCCTCGGTGGAAACAAAGATTTATCTTATTTTGTGTTTTAACGAGTCTACAAGAAGCTGCAACCTTCAACTGAGTTTATTTTCTTTAATGTTTTTGTTTTTTTAGACATAAACTGGAAAACAGCAAAGTGCATAAACTCACATCCTTATTGGATGAGAAAGGAAGTATTCAGATGAACCGTTTCTGTTTAACTCTGAACTTTAAGAGAATTTCAGTCCTCAATGGTTTAGTCTGAAACATTTTTCCGGTCTTTCTGTATAGCATGCAACAAACACCAAACCTGTCTTAAAGCAAACAGAGATGCAGCGATTGAGTACTGAAACAGAACCTAACAAGGACAAACTGTCCTCGTTGTGTTTTTTTTCTGTACCGCCTTATGTAGGCGTCTGAGCCTGGCACGCTTTAGGAAAGTCCTGGTTCCGCCCCTGCTGGAGGACCAGCTTGTCAAACAAAATAAGAGAACCTGCATATCTGGGGGGGAACCTGACAGAACATTTAAAAGCAGAGAGTCAGAGACCCTCAGTGGACTCTGCTCTCCTGGTTATAACTGTTGGACCCAATGTTTTTAAGTTCTGTACCTGTGTTGACAGCTCCGTTCCTCTCAGCATGAAGCCCAACGTACAGCCAGTAATCACAGCGATAACTGACAGGGTCAGCAGCCCATTCCTTTTGCAGAAGTCCCTCACGTTCCTCCAGCGGACCCTCCTTATCCTGTCCATCAGGTAGGCCTTGACCTGGTCCACCGCAGTCCTCCCTGTGGCTCCTGGAGTGAAAGGACTCTGGTTGGAGCAGGTCTCCTCCTCGCTGCTCTGTAACAAAAGCTCCTCCATGCCCTCAGAGGTGTCGGGGTCGTCCTGGCACCGAGACAAACCTGTGATATCCACAGAGAAGCTCACCTTTTCCATGGAAGGATTAAACAATCAGCGAAGAGAGCCAAGCATTCCTGCAGGACGGCTGCAGTCAGACTTTAAGAGGCTTAAGGTGTGGGGGTAGAGAAAACCTCAGCTGTCTTTGTTGTGGCATCTGTTGTTGTTTCCTTCAGGAAAGTGCTCAGAGGTCACGGCTGTTGGAAACCAACAAACTGGACCCGTAAACATGTAAAACAGCAGTTTAGATCCAACTGTTCTGTTTATCTAATAACAGGAAATAATAACGCTGTACAGAAGATCGCTAGATTTTTCCTTCATGTGATATAGTAAAAGGATCCTGATCAGTGGTTCTTAAGGCCTCCTGAAGATCCACCAAAGCTTTCCTGGGGCTTCAATCATAGATTCAGGCTCTGCAGGGATCATGTCGCTGTTGGAGCGGTGCTGGTTTCTCACCTCAGAGGGTGGAGAACTCAAAGCTGCAAAGCAACCAGTCTGTACGAGCAGCTGCTTTCCTCAGACAGATAACATCTCACTAACTATTTACTAACTGTTTACTAACAGCTCATTATTTACTAAACGTTTACTATCTGCCTACTAATAGTTCACAAACTGTTTACGAGCAGATCACTATTTACTAACTGTTAATTAATAGTTCACTTACTGTTTACTATGTATTTACTAATAGTTCACTAAATGTTTACTAACAGCTCAGTAACTTTTGCTGTTTACTATATATTTACTAATAATTCACTGTTTACTAACAGCTCACTAAATATTTATTAACTGTTTACTATTTGTTTACTAAAGGTTCACTACCTGTTTACTAACAGCTCACTATCCTTTTGCTAACTGTTTAAGATATTTTTACTAATAGTTCACTTACTGTTTACCATCTGTTTACAAATAGTTCACTAACTTTTTACAGTTTATAGCTCACTAACTTTTTACTAGCTGTTTGTTATCTATTTGCTTATAGTTCACTAACTGTTTACTATTTACTTATAGTTCACTGTTTACTAACAGCTCCCTTACTGTTTACTATCAGTTTACTAATAGTTCACTAACTATTCACTATCAGTTTACTAATAGTTCACTAACTGTTTATTATATGTTTACTAACAGCTCACTTACTGTTTACTATCAGTTTACTAATAGTTCAATAACTGTTTACTATCAGTTTACTAATAGTTCACTAACTGTTTACTATTAGTTTACTAATAGTTCAATAACTGTTTACTATCAGTCTACTAATAGTTTACTATCTGTTTACTTATGGTTCA